ATGCAGAATGACTGTGAAAGCATCCTGGGTTGGTTCGGGCTGACAGGCAAAACCCCTCAATTCCAATATAACCTAGTAGTCGAGACTGATTATAGCCTCTAAAATCAGGCTGCCTGAGGATGAATCCCAGTTCTAATTAACAGCTACATGATAAGTGTTTTAATTTTTCTGGGCCTCAGTTTCATCACTGTGTAAAAATGGGAGAATAGTAGCTACTCTACATGTGAAGAAGACAGTGCATGTCACACAGAAGAATATTAGAATTGACAAAATACTGTACTAGCTAAGACATATTTTATTTTCATATTTTAATATTTCTGGAATCAGGATGCATCTTACATTCAATATAAAAACAAACAAAAAACCATTGTGTCATTGTGTTGGTTTAATTGATAGTCTTTGTTCTTTCTTTGCCGTACTTAATAATACATTTTGCCCTAACTGGTTTGGCTCAGTGGAGAGCATCAACCTACAGACTGAAGGGTCCTGGAGTGGATTTCAGTCAAGGGCACGTTGCCAGCTTATCCTCAGTAGGGGGCGTGCAAGAGGCAGCTGATCAATGGTTTTCTCATCATTGCTATTTTGCTCCCTTCCTCTCTAAAATCTATAAAAATATATATTTTTTTTAAAAATCACATCGTGTGAATTTTATCTCATTAAAAAAGAAAAAGGTAGAGCCGGGACCGGTTTGGCTCAATGGATAGAGCGTCGGCTTGGGGACTGAAGGGTCCCGGGTTCGATTCCGGTCAAGGGCATGTATCTTGGTTGCGGGCATATCCCCAGTAGGGGGTGTGCAAGAGGCAGCTGATCAATGACTCTCTCTCATCGATGTTTCTAGCTCTCTATCTCTCTCCCTTCCTCTCTGTATAAAATCAATAAAATATAAAAAAAAAAGAAAAAAAAAAAGAAAAAGGTAGAGAGGATCAAATGAAATAATCCTTATTAACTGCTTAGTATATTATGATGCACATAGTGATAAATGTTAGCTATTATCAACTTCATCTGATGATAAATGAGAAAGGTTAAGGGCTTTGATTTTGTCAAAAAAATCACCCAGTTAGTTCCTGGATGGCTTTAATAGGAAACTCATTCAAGTTGTTATGAGTGAGGCCAACAACCCAAACAGGAAGGGGTTAAACTTCCTCAGGGGAAAAACACTAATACTATGTATAGGGCACTGAATTGGTTGGCCTTATATGGAACTCCTTCAGTTCGCCAACCACAGAAAGGTGTACATTATTACTATCTTCCTTCCCAGATGTAGAAATATAAGTGATTTGTTTTACTTCACCAACCAAAAGAAAGGTCATAGATTCAACTCTAGGTTTTTGTCAGGTCTGATGTTATTTTTACTATTAAAAAAATCCCTTTCCTTAGATTATAAGCAATATCATATAAATCAAGATGTTAAGTTCTGACAACACATAAACTTGGGCTTGATTTTGAATAATACTAATTATGTGATCCTGGGAAGTCACTTCACCTAATTAAGATTCAACTACTTCTGTAAAATACAGATTTTACTGGACAATTGTTTTTTGACTGCCCAGAATCCATTTCCCCACCCTAAGAACACTGACTTCCTTTTGTGGAATGAACTTTTTTGCACAGCATACTGCTGAAGTACGGATAGGTGAATCAAACAAATCCAGTTTGACACTTCCTTCCTAAAACTTGGATCTTGAGGGAGAAAGAAACCAAACATGGCTAGAATCCTTACTTCTTTTCAGTTGGGTCAAGTTTCTAAATCTCCATTTTCTGGCTAATGAAGAGAGATGAGGCATGGGGAAAACACTTCACATTTGGTTAAAGTGTAAAATGTTTCCACCTGGCTGTAAAGCAAGTCATGTTCCTGGGCTGAAGAAACTTCAAGGAGGCTAGTCACTAGGGAGAGGAAGCTGTGCGTCGCTATGTGATGTCATTACCCAGCGCCCACAGCCACCATTTCCAGGCGGGGCTGAGCTGTGGACCGCATTTTGTGCCATGAGGTCTTGGCTGTCTGCTGTGATTTGATGGGCTGTCGCTCTGGGATGGTGGCAGGGCCTGTGTCCCACTTGGGGAAAGACGAGTGTTGCTTTGTGGGTGCCAGGTCCATGGCGCCATTTCTCTGTAAATGGCAGTGCACATCATGGCAACTCCTGCATTGAGTGTCTGCCCCCTGGTGGTCAGCGTCATAGTGACTGATTAGATGGTTAGACACTTAGTGCATGAGCCTTTTATATATATAGATAAAAGTCTCACATCCTTAATAGAAAGACACCTTAACGTACCTGACATGGGTCTTTAATACCCATTTTACTCCAGGAAATGTCTTGAGTTTTCAATGACCTGAAAATGGAGAAGTAAGAGATCAGTTTGAAAAGTAAGAAGAAGTTTTAAAGACATACAAAATAAAAGATAGAGATCCTGCATGCAGTTTACACAGTACAGGAGAGAAACATGCAACTTTAAGGAAATTTTAAGTAACATTTCATTGTGAATATCAATATGGGAACCTATAGGGGCTCATCCTTGTACATTTTAAAATAGCTGAGCAGAAATCTTTACTTTGGGGAGCATATCTAATCTACAGTCATTGAAATTTTACATTGTGTCATTTAAGATGTCAAACTTTGTGCCCAGGTTACATTACAGTTCACTTGTGATGGGCAGGATTATTAAGAGTTATGGCTAATTTATGCGGCAGCATATGGTTTTTCTTTTTACAGCTATTTTTATTAAACAAGTTTTGCAAAGTTTTAACATTAAAATTAACAGCTAAAGAATTGTTTATGCAAGTTGCTGTCACAGTTTATGTAAAAGAGAAATATGTGCTATTAAAATCAGACATTTAGGTTACCTTTGGTTTTTTGCGATGCATGTTAGCTTTACACATCCTGATTCTCTTGCGATAATTTTCCTTTAAAAAGGGGGGTATAGAGTGATCTCTTTTCATCAAAACAAGACATAATGCCCTGAAAGCTGACTTCAAACCATGGTTGAAAATTCAGTTATTTACACTTTATCACAATCTATAAATACATTTTTTGTTGGTGTGTTTTAAAAAGAAAAAAATGTCCATCATGCACTGCTGCAGGCAGCTTGGCACTTCATACAAGAGGATTTTTCACCCCCGAGCAGTTTTAGGTGGCTCACTTAGAGAAGTCATGCAAACCCTAAAAATTAACAGAGGAGTGGAAACAGGGCCAACCAATTCCATCATTTCCTCTTGATCTCTCAGGAGGGAGTACAGAGCCAGCCTATCATGCCAGATCCTGCCCAGTCCCGCTGATTTACTAATAGCATTTCTGGGATTAGAAGGAAACCCGTAAATGTACCCAGAGTTTGCTGAACTGTCATCTCGAAAGCAGGTGCAATCCTTTCCAATCTCACAGAGATTATTTGGTGTCACTTTTAGGACCACTAAGAGAAGATGCAAACAAGGTGGCTGGCACTTTAAATATTGACACCTCTGTATGGAAACCAATCCAAATTTTTGATTACTTGTTTCTTTCTCTCCAGATAGGATTAAACTGTTTTCAACAACTTCCAGGGGGTGAAAAAGCTTTGGTTATTTTTAAACTAAAACTTAACAACTCATAAACTTTTTTTGGTAAACTTAAAATAAAATCCCCACCACAACTTTTAAGAAAGTCTCCAAGCTCCAACTTTTAACAAGCCCATTAACTTTAGAATTAATTTAAGTTTATTTGAAAGAGAAAACTATTTTATTGTCCACCCACAAAAATGACAATTCATCACATTTACTTTGATTAAAAAAGGACTAAACTTTATTGACAAACTGCTTCAGACATTTTGACATAAGTTTAAGCTACCTATTTAGGCAGACTTACACATGTAGCATTTAATCTTCCAAGAACAAAATGGGAGGATGGTACAAATCCAATTAGGACTTTAAACTTATGTACAAAGTGGATTTTGATTCCTTTTTCATTCAGCTGCAGTGTCCCTTTTTATATCATGCTAGTGTTGAGACATACTTCATTGACTACCTTGGGAACAGTTCAATATCGACAACTGTCAAACTTAAAAAAATTGTCAGCTTTTGGCCCCAGTGTCCAAATGAGCTTTTCATGGAGTGTAGAATCTCAGATGGACAAAACACTTTCTTTTTAAATACTGAAACTTTAATTATTAGTACTATTATTTAAAGACTGTGGCTAAAAAGCTCTGCATCAAATTCAATTCAGGTGGCAAACCCCTCTCCCCCAATTAAACGCTTCAAAGTCTACTTTCCACTAAGTATCTCTCAACACTGTATGTCTGGGGCTAGATTTCAAAACCCACATAATGAAAAAGTCATTTTTACAAACCTAATCTTGTTGTTTTTTAAGTCAATTAATGTTAAAATTGCATCAACTATTTAATTCATGAGGATCTTTCATATTAAAATTTAACCTTAAGATTCAACCGCCATGTGCTTTTAAAGGAAACATTTTTAGTGACGTCTGAGCTCACTTTTACATGGTGGCACCTATTGCCATTAACATTTGTGATTTTAAATCTTAAACAGCCCTGAATTTTGAAATGTAGCCTAGTTTGGGATTCTGCAACTACAACTATACGGGATGCCTCAAATCAAAACTAAGATAAAGTTAACAAGCCTTAACTTCAGAACCTTTAAGCAAGCAAAGTCACTTTTGAAACTAACAGGTTTGTGGTGTGGTTTTTTTTTTTTTTTTTTTTTACTCAACTTCTTTTTTTTATTATAAAAGGTACATTTCTGTTTATATTTAAACAACAAAGAAAAAAAGCATCTACACACTTAAAAAAATTAATTCGATATTCCTAAATCTATTTTAACTCATTTTAAAATACTACATACAGAAGCCAGAATGCAGAGTTAAGAATGGAGTAAGATGGGGAGAAGAAGGGGACCACGAAGAAAAACACTTAGACAATTACTTGTCTGTTGTGGGCAAAGCAACAGGAATCCTGGGAGATACAAGAAATCAGTAACAACTTTGCTCATAACTGATATTTTCCCCTCATGTTTGTTTTTAATAACGTCCATATGGGTGCTCTCTGTATGCTCCCTTCACTGGCCTAGATGGAGGGGCCTTCAGCGACGGCCTGGTCCCATTCCAGTCGTCTTGGCCTGTGGGGAAAGCAAGAACAGTTTATAAACCTTGTTTTGTGTCAATGGCATCTAGGTTGAAGAAAGTCACCTGGTAAAGAAACACTGTTTTGCTACCTACCCAGTGGTCCTTGCTTTTCCCTCTACTTGGCCCTCCTAGCAGCTTAGGCAATTTCCCAACTGGAGGGAAGTTTTGAGGGGATAGGAAGAAGGAAACAGCTCAGAAAGGGCTTGGAATAATCTCCAGAAAGAGGGTCTTCACAGGCAACATGATTTATACTCCAACCCCCAAATCTGGATAAAACAACACTTGCTGAGACAGCGAGGAAATCAATCTCAGTGGGTTTGTAATACCCTTTCCTGCTCCCAAAGCAACCAGACAGCCTCAGGGAGGGTGAAGCAGGTAGCTCCCTTTTCATACATCAGAAAGTCAGGTTTCCTCGTGGAGAAGTGCCCTCTGACTTTGGGAAGAATAAGCAAGGACCACTTTTCATGAGGTTCCCCACCAGCAGAGCTGCGGCCCACTGCTCTGGCAAAGCAAAGTACTATCAATTGTGAGGGTAGCACTAATGAGAATTCATTTTTTCTGCCCTGATGCCAATATTCCAGAGAAGCCAGTCCGGAGAAGTCAGACAACATAGGTGACATCCTCAAATGGGTTTCCTTTGTAATATGGAAAAATGTGAAGGAGCGGATCACTTATTTCTAGAGATGACCTCTCATAAAAATGAGTTGTGTTTATAAGCTTATTCTTCACATTCATTGCCATGTTTTACCCATGCCAATTCATTCCTGAAGTATTTCTCCAGCTGCCTGCATTCACAAACATCTGCCTCCATCACTACAGGTTTAAAATCCCCTATATGGGCCTGACTGGCATGGCTCAGTGGTTGAGCATGGACCTATGAACCAGGAGGTCACAGTCCCATTCCCAGTCAGGGCACATGCTCAGGTTATGGGCTCGGTTCCCATTGGGGGGCATGCAGGAGTCAGCCGATCAATGTTTCTCTCTCATCATTGATGTTTCTTTCTCTCTAAAATAAAAAATATTTAAAAAAAAAATCGCCCATATGGCCCTAGCTGGTTTGGCTCAGTGGATAGAGCATTGGACTGCAGACTGGGGTCCTGGGTTTGATTGTGGTCAAGAGCATATGCAAGGGTTGTGGACCCAAGCCCCAGTAGGGGGAATGCAGGAGGCAGCCAATCAATGATTCTCTCTCATCATCGATGTTTCTATCACTCCCTCTCCATTCCTCTATGAAATCAATTAAAAAATAATATATATATATTAAAAAATTCCTTATATGCATCTAAAATCACACAGCACCCTATTTAAGCCTGTTTCTATGCCTACTATAATAGGTATGTCCATCACTTTCCAAATTGTTTCTGGTACCAACAAGATACCCTGTTTCCCCGAAAATAAGACAGTGTCTTATATTAATTTTTTCTTCCAAAGTTGTGCTTGGTCTTATTTTCAGGGGATGTCTTATCGTTCCATGTGCTAGGTCTTATTTTTGGAGGATGTCTTATTTTCGGGGAAACACGATAGTTTATTTTTTCTAATTCTCTTTATAAAGGCAGAAATCAGAACAGATTACCATGGCAACATCATACCAGGGGCATAAGGAGCAATCTGCCTCTTTCAGTCCAGTCTTTTATCCCGCAAAACAGAAATGCAATATAGTCAACACATACAGAGGCCCATTGTGCTGCCTCACTGATCGGAGGGAAATACCCCAGAGCAATCATACTGCTCTTCTAAACAGTGGCATATGAATAGAAGAGTCACTGATGGCAACAGTCCAATGCCATTTAGCTAGAATTAGTAAAAACTGCTTCCCTGGGAAAGTAGCTCAGTGGTTACTACATACCATACTGAGTTGTTGGGCTCAGCTTGCCCATTTGTGGGAGTCCCTAAGAGGTCCCCCTTTTTCAGCTAGGGGAAGAGGGAGGTTGTCAATTAGCATCTTAAGAAGATCTGTCAACTGCTGAACCTCTTGCTAAGAATTCTAGAATTCCTTTAGGTATGTTTAAAATATCTCACCTTTAAAAGACTGCTCCCTCTCTGCACCTGTGGCCACATGGCACACCCTCTGGGCCCATTAACATGAGGTCATTATTGGCTCTTTGAAGACACTCTTGAGCAATGCATTTTCAACTAAACCTCAGGGAAGACAGTTTGGTCATGCAGCCATCCCAGCCGCTGTAGCTCTCTTAGGAGTTGAGATATCTCCAAAACAGGAAGGATCTTGATGCCAGTACTGCCCTGAATTGGCTCCAGCCCCACTCCCCTAATCTGAGTCTAACAGGTGTTAATTCTTGCCCCAGTTTGCTCTAGCTATTTGCAATCTGGGTCTCTTTCAGCTATTATTTCCTCTACATTGGCATTCTGTTCGATGAGATCCAAAATTGTTTTTAAAAGTGAGGTAGGGCAGAAGAGCAGAGCTGGATATAATGAAATTCTTATCTACTAATGTGGTCTAGGTAATCAGCAGTAAAGGCCCAGCAACATAACCTATGTCCAGCCATCTCCTGGCCTAAAGTAGGAAAAAATAATTCAACATCAGCTTAAAAGTTTACTGCTTCAGTCCTGGCTGGTGTTACAAAGTGGTTAGAGCACTGGCAGGTGCACCAAAGGGTCGCAGGTTCCATTCTGGGTCAAGGGCCAAGGTCAATCGATGTATCGCTCATATTGATGTTTCTCTCTCACTCCCCCCACCCCATACCTCCTCTTTTACTATCTCTAAAAAGTAATAGAAAAAATATCCTCAGGTGAGGATTAAAAAAAAAAGTGTGCTGTTCCAACCAGGCAAACTAGTTTGCCGATTCCTAGTTTAGGACATTTTCTTAGCCTTCAAGTGTAATAGTACCCCTATCTCTACTGCACACAAAGTTTAAGTAAGAGCAGGATTCCTATTGTTACATCTACCAACAACTTGGCCTTAGGTGTGACTGTCTGACCCTCAATAATCCAGCATTCTCTCAGGCACTTACTTGCACATTCTGCCCCAACATAGAAATAAAAACATACCATATGCTTCATAAGAATCTTGAACCTCCCCATGTCCATAGTCATAATATTCTGAGTCCCTAAAAGCCAAAGACAGAGTGTTAAGAGAGCCATATAGCAACTATGTTTCAGTTTTACCTTTCTCCCAAATACTTCCATATTTACAGTCATTTTACTGTGTGTATAATAAAGGAAAATGCTCATTCCCCATCTTCAAACCATAAAATACTACCAACACATGTATAACTATGTACTGATAAAAAATTGGATAACAACTATAGCAAAGAAAAATGAATACCACACAATTTAAAGTGGAAAAGCACAGTATAAAATTGACCACAGTGCTTACTGGAAGAGAATAAACAAACATGAGAACTATCTTGTCCCCCATGTAGAATTATGAGACATTTCTTCAATCAATCATAGATAAAACAAATATACACAAAAAATGTTTTTAAAGAAAAGCACAGCCCTGCCCAGTATGGCTCAGTTGCCAGTTTGATTCCTGGTCAGGGCACATTCTTTGCTTGCAGGCTTGATTCCAGGTAGGAGGCGTGCAGGAGGCAGGTGATTGTTTTGCTCTCACATGTTTCTCTCTCTCAAATTCAATAAAAATCTTAAAAAAAAAAAAAAAAAAGAAGAAGAAGAAAAAGAAAAAGAAAGAAAACAACCCAAGTTATTGCAATGGAATTCTAGTTTCCTTTTAAACTTTCATACAATTTTACTGTGACTGTGATATTTTTTAGAAATAAATCAAATAATTTAAAGGCATTTCCCCTTTGTTTCCATGTAGTTACAGCTCAGGAATTTTTCTATTCTCAGATTCTACCATATAATTCAAAATTCATAATTTACTAAACTTACAGAGTCCAAGCATAGTAGATACCCTCAAAAGGTAAGCCACACTGCTCCTTAGATTTGTGCTGCCTAAATCTCTGTCCCTTCCACTCTCCCCCACCCCTGCCCTGCTACCCATCCCCAGGACAAGAAACAGCACCTCTATTGCCTGACTTACCCTTGGCTCTGGCTGTAATAGCCTTCGTAGCCTTCATAACTCTGCTCTGCATATGTATCATCATATCCCTAGAACCAATAAAATGAAAGAACGAGTCAGAATCATAGAGAGAAGGTAATTACATCCCATGGGAGGATGCAGGCTTTTACATGAACAGAACATGAACTTTCCCTTCCAAATGTTAACACCCATAGTGAAATAGTCAAGAGAGAAAGGATTATTTTTAAAACATGAAACAAAACCAATCAAACAAAAAGAAACAGTAAGAAAACAAAAACCAAGTGTGAGTAGGAAATAAGATACAAATTTGAACTGGTAGTAGTGGGAGACCCCTTAGTAAAATACTGTACTTTGAGGCACAGCTTATTTCCTGTATGATAGCAAATCATGCTTAAAATGGAAAAATCTTCTCCTAAGTTAACATTCACTGCAAGAGAAAAGAACAGATTCTGAATCTTACAGGCAATCCCTGCCACCTACATCAAGGGCCAAGGCCCTGTCATTCAACTTCCTTTGGCAACCTTCTAGGTAGTGGGAAATGGCACATTGTTCAAACTTCTTACATAATCTTCATATGTTTCTGGTGCAGGGGGTGGAGGCAAAGGTATTCTCTGGATGCCTGCTGTCCGTGCCCTTGGTGCTGGGGCACCCCTCACAGTAGGTGGGGGTGGCACTCCTCGAGTCACGGTGGCACCTCTGGTGATGGCTCCTCTCACTGGCGTGCCACGCACCAAAGCCCCACGAGGTGGTACAACACCTCGGCCCCTATGAAAAGAAAGTTTTCCCACTTTTAATTGAATTTATTAGGGTGACACTAGTTAACAAAATTATACAGGTTTTAGGTTCATGATTCCATAACACATCATCTAAGAAAGTTTATTTTAAATGGAGATCTTTTTTTCCCTATACTTTATCTTTATTGTTGAAAGAGATTTTTTAATAAATAGGCTACTTACATGGTCAGATTTGTGTGCAAATTCTGGAACGAGCCAGATTTTATGTCGCCTTAAAAATACTATTATTAAAACCTAGAGGAATGTATGGGTAAGTAAAAAACCCACAATGGAAGATTCCCCAGGTCCCACAATAAACTGCTTTGGAGAGTCTGGACACACCATAAAGATCAGTAACAAAATGTAAAATGCTAAAGTCAGTGATTATTTAAAAATGCTATAACTGGCCCAACTGGCATGACTCAATGGTTGAGTGTCGATCTATGAAAACCAGGTTATGGTTCGATTTCCAGTCAGGGCACATGCCTGGGTTGTGGGCTTGACCCCCAATGGGGGCATTTAGGAAGCAACAGATTAATAATTCTCTCTCATCATTGATGCTTTTTTCTCTCTCTCCCCCTCTCCCTTCCTCTCTGAAATCAATAAAAACATATTTAAAAAACAAAAATGATATAGCTGTCAAAATTAAAAGACCAAAAGTTTCAGAAGGACTGCTACACTTGACTATGGCCAAAATGCTCAAGAGCTAGAATTCCACTCAATGAAGGATATAAGACTCCTTCTAAGCTGGAGATAAGAGCACCAAAAAGAGGGAGATGGTTCTAGCGTTAAAATTTACATCCTATTTCTGGTTGTTTACATTATTTTTACCTGGGGACAGGTGGAGGAGGAGGGGCAGCTCCCCGGCCTCTCACTGGCACCCCACGTCCTCGAGAGGGCTCTGGTACTCCATTCAAATAGGACAGCTCTAGAAACTGCTCTTGACAGATATCATCCATCATATCCTGCAAATGAAAGATAACAGAAAGATTATTGTGTAACATCTCCAAATTTTGGGAAGTTGTCTAGGCCACATGAGCCTTGAATGATAAGAACAAATTAGAAAGCCCAGATGAAGTATAAGAGAGCATTCATTCTCTAGTAAAATGGCAGCCTGCTGTTATCTCTTTGAGGAAAGTACCTTATCTTTATTAAAATACTAGAGGCCCAGTGCATAAAATTTGTGCATGGGGGGGGGGGGAGAAGAAGAGGGAGGTGTGCCTCAGCCCAGCCTGTGCCCTCTTGCAACCTGGGACCACTCCGGTAGGGTCCCTAGGCCTTGCCAGCGATCAGGGCCTTCCTTCCCCTGGTTGCCAGCAGCTGGTCGGCCCCCACTGTTGCCACTGCGTGCCTCTGTGTGGCGCTGTCCTTCCTTCCCCAACACCAGTCACCTCCCTCTGCGGGTGACAGGTGTGAGGTGTGGTTGCTTGGCTGGCCTGGGCTTCCCTCTGTGGGGCGATCACACAGCAGAGGGAGGCCCCGCCTACCTCGGCTGGGGCTCCATGCAGAGGGTGGCCTGAGCCTCCCTCTTTGGCTCTTTGGGGTGATCACCCTGCCAGCTGGTGGCCTGGGCCTACCTTTGTGGGACAACAGCAGGGCTCCCCGACTAATCGCATCACACCTGCCTTGGCTGGCCTGATGCCAGTGTGTGTCATAGCATGGTCGTCCGGAAGGTGGTCTGGACCATTGTTCTACTGTTGGGTCCTTTGATCTATTTGCATATTATGCTTTTATTATAGATCACAGCTCTTCATGATGTGATGGTCCCTGCCTAGCCCTCCAGATCATCACTTTCATCTCTTTCAAGCCAGGCTGAACAACTTATAGTTCAGATTCTGGCATACTCTTACACATCCATTCTTGCAAATAGTCCCCCCCCCCCCAAAATAATAAAAGCCACTACCATAAATTATGCTATATGTATCAGATATTAAATAATAAGCTTTATATAGACTTTTCAGTTTAATCTTCAAAACAACCCTTAAGAAAATAGACATAGAATTAGCAAGTGGTGGACTCCAGATGTGAATTCAGAATCTAGGCTTTGAATCATCCTATATAATAAAAGGCTAATATGCAAATTGTCCCCTCAACTGGAGTTCGACCAGGGGATGGGGCCAGTGGGCCAACCCTGCCTGCCCCCCTAACCGGGGTTGACCCATCCCTTATTACCCCCCAACCCTGATGGGGAGTGCACTGGGCCTCTAGTTAAAACTACAATGCCTTTTTCTTGCTTACCTGAGGGACTTTAACCCACTCTTACAAGACAATCTAAAATATTACCTCTTTTGAAAAACTTTCACTTGATGCCACCCCCAGTCCCTCTTCTTTTCCCATGGCACTATGTTGATTTTCTCTACCAGAGCAGTTACCACATCATTTCAGAATTGCTGGTCTGTCTTTCTCACTAGATTGTGAACTCCCAGGAGCCATTTTTGTAACTAGACCCAAGGCACTTACCAGTTACTTAACATTATGTTTGAGACGAATAAAGCTCACAAAAGTGAAACAGTAACTTGTTCAAGATGATGCAGATAAAGCTTCCAGTCCAGTGCTCTACCTACTGTACCGGAAGTCTCTCTGATATAGTTAATTGCTCCAAGGGAAAAATGGAGTCATCTGCAAATCTTTTCATATATTGCCTGATAAAAGCCATGCAGTCTTAATATACATGCATTTTTATAAGTACAAGTGGATAAAGTTTCAAGAATATAAAATTCTAATCACCACAGAGATGCCCTTCCATAGCTTTTACCTCATCCTTCTACCTTACACTTTACTGCTACTTAAGACTTACACTGGGGAATCAAGTGACCATAGACAGCCAATTTGTTTAGTCTCCCAAATGCCACATCAACTCTGAGGAAACCCAGGTCTCCCTGGCAGGAATCTTATTTGATGATCCACTTACATGGAAGTCTTGTAAGCCTATTCCTTTTGAGAAATATGCTGAGACCAATGATAAAGAGGGGATGGGCACTCCCCTGTAGTCCCATTCAGAAACTGGATTGGCTCAGGATGCTTCAATACAACACCTCAAAAAGAGTCAAAAGAATTCCCTTAAGGAAAAATTGACCAGCTCTGGGTTTTTCTCCAGGATATTTAAATTTGGCTGTTTCATGTTGAACATTCTAATGAAGACAAGGTACTTGGAAGCAAAACAGCTGCTGAAATATTTGAGACAATGTTGGAATCCTTGGAACTCAGCATTATAGGCACATAATGCTTATAAATTTTTGCTCTACCAGTTCTCACATCCTCCGAATACCTCATTTAGTTCTCTCTTTAAAAACTGATTTTAGAGAGGAAGGGAAAGGGAAATAGAGATAGAAACATCAATGATGATCAATTGCTTCCTGCATGCCCCCTAGTGGGGATAGACCCGGCAACGTAGAGTCTGCTTATTCTATGGGATCTAAGAACATAGTATCAAGGCTATGGGCTTCTTTTAGGGGCCTACAAAATGTCTGTGAGTAGAAAAATATGAAAACGAAGTATGACTGGGAATAGAACTGTGAAGTCCTGGTTCATAGGTCAACGCTCAACCACTGAGCCACACAGGACGTGCCATTTTGTTCTAACTCCCTCATTTTACACAGTCAAGAAAACCAAGAACTGTAGTTACCCCCTTTAGTTTTAATGATGAAAACATGCTGCTACTCACATCTAGTTGAATAGTACTGTCAACCTTGGTTATTAAATATTCAACAACAGTATGTTAATTCTAGTAATTACCAAACCTTACTAAAAGGCAGAAATTGCACCATTTTCTATTAATTCAAAGAATGAGCCCTCTGACCAGGTGTCTTGATAAGCAAGACAGGTAACCTTGTCTGTTCTAACTCTTCTTGGGCTTCAATTACATTCTCAAAGGAGCTGCTTACCAATCTGTTTAATATCAACAGTCAAGCCTGTAATAATCAGGTCTCTTTCTAATCAAACTCTACTTGAATTAACTCCTCCAGGAGAAAAAGCCCTGAACACACTCAGGTCAAATTTAATCCATTAAGATTGGATATTAGAAGCTTCTCGCTGTTATCTTCTAGACTCTGTAAAGTCTAAAACACAAACCCTTGAGTCACTTTCCTAAATACTTAGCTCAGGGAAGAAACTGTTAAATCTTTGTTAACCAGATGTTAAAATGCCAGACATGCTGTGGACCTAAGATACTGACCTAAACTAAAACCACATTACTCCAGGATGAGTAGAGTGGCCTTGGGCACAATGCTTTGCAAACTTGGTACAAGTTAAAGGACCACCTCAGGAAAATAAACGTAAGAATTGGGTATATAATTTTAGGTTATGCAGAGACCCTAGTTAAGAACCACTGCTTTAGCAACAGCACAAAATCCAGTTCTCTCTTGCTCAAAAGATACAGGATATAGATTTCCTTACTGGTACGAGAAACTTCTTGACTTCCTCCATAGCATGTGCCATAAGAGCATAAGCCTCACAAGGAGGTCCAAAGACTTCAATGAAGACATGCAGATCCATATTCAAATGGGCATATTTGGGGTCTCCACCTTTGCGCAGCTCTTCTTCCTGTGGAGAAACGAAAACAAAATGTCACATCACAGACTAGGGATTTAATGACACCTTTAACTTCAAGGTCAAAGAAACAGCAGGAAATAACTGTAACATCTAAGGGACACAGTAAAACATAAGAAAAAAGTAAAACACTCCAACCCACAAGATGGCCACCACAAAATGGCCAGCAGGGGAGGGCAGTTGTGGGTGATCAGGCCTGCAAGGAGTACAGTTGGGGGGAGATCAGACTTGCAGGGGAGAGCAGTTAGGGGCAAGCAGGCCTCCAGGGGAGGGAAGTTGGGAGCGACCAGCCTTGCATCGAGGGCAGTTGGGAGGGACAAGGCCTGCATGGGAGGGCAGTTGGGGAGCACCAGGCCTGCAGGAGAGGGGAGCTGGGGCAACCAGGCCAACAGAGGAGGGCAGTTAGAGGTGACCAGGCCTGCAGGGGAGGGCAATTGGGAGTGACCAGGCCAGCAGGGGAGGGCAGTTAGGAGTGACCAAGCTGGCAGGGGAGGGCAGTAGAGCAATTGGGCTGGCAAAGGAGCAGTTAGGCGTTGATCAGGCTGGCAGGGGAGTGGTTAAGGGGTGATTAGGCTGGCAGGCAGGTGAGCAGTTGGGAGCCAGTAGTCCTAGATTGTGAGAGAGATGTCCCCGATTGGAGAGGGTACAGGTTGGGCTGAGTGACACCCCCTAATCCCCTGTGCACAAATTTTGTGTGAGCTCTAGTCTGTATCATAAAAGACCTGTGGTCATGATGCTGTAATGGCGGAAAACCAAACAACCAGTCACCAGGAGGTGCATGGAGCACCTCTCGCTGGCTGGGACTCACAGCTCGCGTAGGGCGGGTCTGAGACGTGGCAGGTCTGGGTCTCACATGATTTCACACACCAGCCCTCTAGTTTTTAATAATGAACTTCAATGTTTGCTAACTGGTTACTATAATTGTGTTGCATTCATTTCCCTTACACGCCTTACTTGCAGGCTCACCATTTCTCTCCACTAATACTAGTAGAGAATATTTTAGAAGCTGATTGCCACGCCATTACTCTTGTACTAAGTTGTTTGATGTGTGCAACAGGAAATATTTCACTTTTGGAGAATAAGAAAAATAGGTTTATTTGCATTATACTTATTAATTTGTGCAATTATTCAGTGTCTGGTAAATTAATGTTCAAGAAATATTAATTTTTATTAAAATGTTCTCTTATTTTATGTTAATGATTACTCATTTATTTTAGCCCTTTGTATTCAGCATGTCTCTATCGGAATAAAACTACATTTCTATGACAATCAAAGCGTTTTTTTATTTTTATTTTTTTTAATATATTTTATTGATTTTTTTACAGAGAGGAAGGAAGAGAGATAGAGAGCTAGAAACGTCGATGAGAGAGAAACATCGACCAGTTGCCTCTTGCACACCGGGGATGTGCCCGCAACCAAAGTACATGCTCTTGACCAGAATCGAACCTGGGACCTTTCAGTCTGCAGACCAACACTCTACCGCTGAGCCAAACCAGTTTTGGCTCAAAGCGTTTATTTTTTTGCGGCCCACATAAACTTACACGGTGTTTATTTTGTCCATGTTAGCCTTGGAGTTTGACATGCTTGCATTAGGGTGTCATCTTGCTTCACTAAGTGAGCTTACCTTGGCTTTGTCTCTCATTGAGCCCTTTCCTAACACAGAGATCTTTGCACCAGTCTCTTCTTGCAGTCTTTTGATAGTATTCCCTTGTGGTCCAAGGATCTTCCCCACAAAATTGAACTGACAAGAAAATAAAAATAGATTTCTAAATATTCATACTCCTATGAAACATTTCCACATGTACTATCTCATGTGATCACAGCAATCCTATAAAACAGGTAGTTTCACTTCCATTTTACCGAAGAATATACTGAGGTTGCAGTGATGAAGTGATTAGCCTAAGGTTATGAAAGTGGTAGTTCCTAGAGTTGATTTTGGGATTTCAGATGTAGTATCACACTGCAATCCCTAATACTTTAACATACATAAACATTTTTAAGGGTTACCTCAGAGCAGACATGGAATACCTGTTTAGTGCTATTTTTTGTAAACTAAATATAACTAATTGTTTTCCTAAAAAAAAGAAGAGGAGTAGGTGGAGAGAGCATTTTTTTTTTAAAGTAAAACTTTGAGTAAAAAATAAAGTTAACCTCATCTTTTCAAAGATTTATGCTATAACTTCATTTTGATTTCATTTTAAGAAATCTTTTGACAAAATAACTCTTTAGGTTTCAATTTTTTTTCTTTGAACTTTAAACTGGAACAAACATTTGAGGAGCTCTTTTTAATAAGAAGAAGACTGCATTTCTTTCCTGGCTATAGCTAGCTATCCAATCTGTATGGACTTACTTGTTTCAACTGCCAGAAATAAGTATTCAAGTATGGAAGAGAAACTTCAAAGGCTTAAGTTTCTGATGCACCCGTCTCTGGAAGTCGTTATTAGAACCCATGGCTCATACCTACAAAGACAACTCAGAGAAATGAGGCACTTTTTGTCTTACCTTGGGATACTGCTTGACGGGTATCAGTACTCGTTCCTTCAGCTTCATGTTCTTATGAGAAAATAAATCCAAGTAATTCTCCTCATCATCCTTCTTTGAAAGCCCTTTCTGAATCTTCTCAATTTCTGAATAAAAGAAATAGAATTTAAGTGACTTTTTCTCTGGTGAATAAAGATAAATTTCTTAGTCTGCATAAAGCAATAACATGGAATACCATATAATTACACGAAATAGTTCAGATGAATGTGCTAATTTCAGAGAGTAACTAAAAGCACCAAAGCTTAAGTTGATCAGAAAACCCAAAGCCTGCTCCTAGTAAGAGCAGTTTGCTCTTTAACCGCCACTTGAATGTCTGTATATCAGAGACATTCAGATGTTTCTTAGAATAAGAGACTTAACAACACCAATGGGGAGAGATGAGAAAAAAAGGATAAACTAAAACAATAAAAGCAAAAATCTGCATCAAGGAAAAGTATAAAATCTTATCTTGATGAAAAAATAAAAATCAATAATTTAAATATAAAGTAGAGAGCCCTGTTAAAATTCCAGTGACAGCAGTACTATGGACAGTAGTAGTCCTTACAAGTTTGAAAGACCTGGTTCTTTAAAAAAAAAAGAAAAAAAATATATCTTATTAATTTTTTTGAGAGAGAGGAGGGGAGAGGGATAGAGTTAGAAACATCAATTAGCTGCCTCCTGCACACCCCTTACTGGGGATGTGCCCACAAGCAAGGTACATGCCCTTGACTGGAATCGAACCTGGGACCCTTCAGTCCACAGGCTGATGCTCTATCCACTAAGCCAAACCAGCTGCTACTCAGTAATTGTGTGAGCTTTGCAAGTTATTTAATTGCCCTGATTTTTAGTTTCCTCATTTATAAAATGGAGGTGATAGCTACTTCATGAGGTTGCTATAAAAACAGAATAACATATGTACACATGCTAATTAAAGCCCATTTCTTGAGAAGTATCAAAATTAGCTAGCCCAAATTCAGTCAATTCGCAGGTTGACAGTTTCATCAGATAGAATCTAGGAATCCAAAATTATTTCCTATCATTAGGGAACTCCATCCATCCATCCCATTCTTTGCAAGTATTTGAGTATTTCTTTAAAAAAAAAAAAAAAAAAAAAAAAAAGGCAGAAGAAAGAAAGGAGAGAAACAGGTATAATCATTAACATATATGTGAGACTTAGGGCCAGGCACCTATCCTATAAAGCAGAGGTGGGGAATGTCCCAGCCACGAAATCATTTGGTCTGGCTCTGCCAAGGCATTAGAGGTGAGTTACTAAATGTTTGACCAAATATAGTATGCTAATTTTTAAGTTGATAATTTTGTATGGCCCAGGAATAATGTTATAAATATCCAAATGGCCTTTGGCAGAAAAATGGTTCCCCACTTCTGCTATAAAGTATAGAAGATACAACAGAACAAGTCAGATATAGTCCCCAACTTCACAATCTACAATAAATGAGAAACATGCAAATTGACCGCATCTCCGCTACGCCCACCAGGCAATCAGAAGCAAGTATGCAAATTAACTAAACCAAGATAGCTGCAGCACGGAGTGAGCAGGAGGCTTGGGTTTCCCTGGCAATGGAGGAAGCCAAGCTTCTTGGCCAGCCTTGGCCTCCACAAAGTTTCAATTATAGAAGATAAATCCCAGATACCAGGGCCTCTGCTTGGGTTACTAGGGGGCGTGGCTGGCCTGCTAATCATCACAGGCCCCTTGCCAAGGCTGCCCCACGCCCCAAGGTAACCCCCACCCTGATCTGGGACACCCTTCAGGGCAAACCAGCTGACCCCCTCCCATGCATCAGGCCTCTATCCTATCTAATAATAAAAGAGCAATATGCAAATTGACTGTCACTCCAACACACAAGGTGACTACCCCCATGTGGACACAAGATGGCCATCACAAGATGGCCAGCAGGGGAGGGCAGTTGGGAGGGACCAGGCTTGCAGAAGAAGGAAGTTGGGGGTAACCAGGTCTGCAGGAAGGGCAGTTGTGGGGGACCCAGGCCTGCAGGGGAGGGCAGTTAGGGGCAGTCAGGTGGACAAGGGAGCAGTTAGGCATCAATCAGGCTGGCAGGGGAGTGGTTAGGGAGTGATCAGGCTGGCAGGCAGAAGCAGTTAGGGGCAACAAGGAAGGAAGGAAGGAAGGAAGGAAGGAAGGAAGGAAGGAAGGAAGGAAGGAAGGAAGGAAGGAAAGCAGGCAGGCAGGCGAACAATTGAAAGCCAGCAGTTCTGGATTGTGAGAGGGATGTCCCAAATTGGAGAGGATGCAGGCTGGGCTGAGGGACACACCCCTCTGTGCATGAATTTTGTGCACTGCACCTCTAGTGTTTATATATTGGAGTTCTCAGTTAATGAAGTTAGCAATGAAGTATAGTGAAGTGCTATGATAGGAATACTAATAGAGATGGGGGCAGTGTGTGTAAGTAATGAATAGCAATTAAAAGGTTCTATAATGTACTGAGAACAGTAAAACAATTTATATTCCCCCCTGTCCAGTGTGGCTCAGTTGGTTGAGCATCATTCCATGCACTGAAAGTCACTGGTTTGGTTTCTGGTCAGGGCACATGTGGGAGGCAAACAATATTTCTCCTCCTCAAAAAACATAATTATATTCCCAAAAATCAGTGTGACATCCCAAAGAACACAAAACGTTCTCCTTATATAATATTTCCACAGTGTTTCTATATTCTGTAATTTTAAGGCAAGGGTTCTCAAACTTCAGTATACATCAAAATCACCTGGAGGGCTTATTAAACGAGACTGCTGAGCCAGAACCCCAATCTAAGATTTGTGTTAGGAATTTGCATTTCTAACAAGTTACCAGGTGATGTTGATATTGCTGGTCTAGGGACCACACACTTTGAAAACCTGGTTTGGCATAAAAATATACTATTTCAAAGACATTCTGCAAATCTAAAATTTTGACAGTTTTAAAAAGTGTTTAGTCTAAGTCCAACTGTGAAGTACACAGATGAAGAAGAAAAGTTACTTTGACACTCACAAACTTCCTAAGAATTCAGGATTTCAAACAGAAAGCTTCCTGTTTATTAAAAAGCCTAATTTCAGATGTTTAAGTATACAGTGAGCTAAATGACCCACTTATATCCTAGAGCACATACTCCCGTCCTTTCTGACAATTAAAACTGCTAATCATATTCTAAGTATCCTTAACTAAACATTTACTCCTATTAGAAGAACTGTAAATGGGAGTGCCTATTTTCACTGCTCGGAATAGAAAATTATAATTAACAGACTAAATGCTTCATTCAACGTCTCATTTGTTTGCTGTTTTACTGGTGGTAACCTCCACCCCTTCCCACTGACTGCTAATATTAACTTTTTGTAGTCACTAGTTTTGAGCCTACCATCATCTCTGAATACATTTTGAGTTTTTAGGCTGGAAAATTCCGTACTCAATCCACAAAAGTTCTAAGGGGCCCTAGCTGGTTTGGCTCAGTGGATAGAGCGTCAGTCTTCGGACTAAAGGGTCCTAGGTTTGATTCCAGTCAAGGACCTATGCCTGGATTGTGAGCCCGATCCCCATTGTGGGCCTGATCCCCAATGAGGGGCCTGCAGGAGACAGCCAATCAATGATTCTCTCATCATTGATGTTTCTCTTTCTCTTTCTTCTTTCTCTCTGAAATCAATAAAAATACATTAAAAAAGGAAGTTCTAAAGGAATAAATGCCATATTTCATTTTATCTATATACCTCAGTGTTTCTTTTTTAAAATATATTTTATTGATTTTTTTTACAGAGAGGGAGAGGATAGAGCTAGAAACAATGAGAAACATCGACTAGCTGCCTTCTGCACACCCCCACTGGGGATGTGCCCTCAACCAATGTACATGCCCTTGACCGGAATTGAACCTGGGATTTTTTAGTCCGCAGACCAACACTTTATCTACTGAGCCAAACCGGTTTTGGCCCTCAGCTGTACTTTATAACCCTTTCCAGAAACTTTACTTGGTTATGGCAGGATGACTCAAAAGTCAACTAATCTGTTGTACTCTTTACAGGAAGCAGGACTATAAAAACTGAACCCAGTAGGTTTGTTCACATGCAATGTAATGCAGCCTGTGAATTTAAAGCTTTTCTACATGGATCCTTCTGCTAAATTTTGTACTAGTCAGATCCTAGAGAATCTCTGTCCAATTTATCTCACAATTTTTAATATGAAAGTATTTTTTGAAAATTCAGAGAACAATGACTTAAATAAAACAGAACTGAAAAGATAAGAGTCTGCGGCTGGTGTGGTTCAGTGATTGCGTGTCAACCTATGCACCAAGAGGTTGCTATTTCTTTTTTTAATTTTTATTTATTTATTTATTTATTTATTTTATTGATTTTTTTTTGCCCCCCTCCCTCCCTCCCATACATACCCTCCCTCCCCAGAGTTTTATGTCCATTGGTTGTACTTATATGCATGTACACAAGTCCTTTGGTTGATCTATTATCTCCCCCAGATCTTCCTCCCCTCTCCACTGTAATTTGACAGTCTGCCTGTTGCTTTACTGTAAGAGGTTGCTACTTCAATACCCTGTCAGGGCACATGCCCGGGGTTGCAGGCTCCATCTTTAGCAGGGGAGTGTGCAGGAGGCAGCTGATCAATTGATGTTGATTTTTCTCTCTCTTCGATGTTTCTATCTCCCTCTTCCTTCCCTTCTAATATCAATAAAAATAAAAACATTAAAAAAAAAAAAAAGGATAAAAGAATCAAAGGTTAGCCTAGAAAGCAAAACACTAAGGGGCAACCTGAGTCTTCAAGAAGGGCCACCTTCCATGTTTGGAAGGGGAAGGACTGAACATGTATTCAATGTCTACTATGTATCAAACACTGTACAATATTACCTCACTTATCCTAAAAATTAACTCAGTGAAGTAGCTGGTACAATCCCCATTTTACAATGTCAGAAACTGAAACTCAGAAAAGTTAAATTGGTAAATCAGTCCAGCCAGTGTGGCTCAATGGTTGAGCGTCGACCCATAAACAGGTCACGGTTTGATTCCCCAACAGGGAACATGCCCGGTATTTCAGGCTTGATCCCCAGAAGGGAGCCTGCAAGAGGCAACCATAGATGATCTTCTCTCAGCATTGATGTTTCTC